GGCTGAAGCACAAGAATCACTTGAACACAGGAGACGGAGATTGTAGTAAGCTGAGATTGTGCCACTGTACTCTAGCCTGGGTGGCAGAGTGATACTGTCTCAAAAAGAAATGTGTAAATGCTTGCAATTGAATATTTCCCTTGCACGTGTTGACAGCACAGAGTTTAGCTTCGAAATGCCTCACAAAGAGGTGAGAGTGACCATTTGTAGTGAGGCAATGGAGTATGAGAGAGTGAAAATAAATCTAAATTCAAAGGCAAGATCAGGCACTTGCAAGCCGAGTGCTCCTGGTAGCTCTCTCAGCCCCAGTCTGCTCATTGTAAATTGTAGCTAACACAGTCTCCCAGTCGGAGTTATGGTGAGGCCTATGCATTAAGAAACTGGCTCCTGGCCAGGCGTGGTGGCTCACGCCTGTAATCCCAACACTTTGGGAGGCTGAAGTGGGCGGATCACAATGTCAGGAGTTCGAGACCAGCCTGGGCAATATGGTGAAACCCCATCTCTACTAAAAATAAAAAAATTAGCTGGGCATGTTGGTGTATGCCTGTCATCCCAGCTACTCAAGAGGCTGAGGCAGGAGAATTGCTTGAACCCAGGAGGCGGAGGTTGCAATGAACCAAGATCACACCACTGCACTCCAGCCTGAGTGCCAGACTGAGACTCCACCTCAAAAGAAAAAGAAAGAAACTGGCTCCTCATCAGGGTAATGCATGCTGGGCTGAATATCTAGGTTCTGGGTTGATAGGTGCAGCAAACCACCATGGCACACATTTACCTATGTAACAAACCTGCACGTCCTGCACATGTATCCCAGAAATTAAAATAAAATGGGCCAGGCGTGGTGGCTCATTCCTGTAATCCCAGCACTTTGGGAGGCCAAGGTGGGTAGATCATGAGGTCAGGAGATTGAGACCATCCTCGCCAACGCAGTGAAACCCCGTCTCTACTAAAAATACAAAAATTAGCTGGGCATGGTGGTGCATGCCTGTAATCCTAGGTACTTGGGAGGCTGAGGCAGGAGAACAGCTTGAACCAGGGAGTCAGAGGTTGCAGTGAGCCGAGATCGTGCTACTGTACTCCGTCTCAAAAAAAAAGAAAAGAAAAGACAGTGAAAAATCACACAAACGCCATTCAAATAAAAATAGAAACCTAGAGATAAAATGACATAACTTATACCTTCTCTCTGAAGGCAATTCTCAAATCAGGAAAATGTGAAACTCTGTTTTAATGTTTTTGTGATTGCAGGGGAAAAAAACCAAAAACTCTAAGCCTAGGAATGATACAAGCAGGGAAAATGGTAAAAAGCTCCTCCTTGCATATGCGGAGCCCTCAAAAGACTACATCTCTCAGGGTGAGAGGAAAGTAAAGCAAAACAGTTTGCAGTATGATTTCAGCTTAAATTTAAACTGCCTGGGAGACCTTGTCCAGCAAGAGCCTAGAGTGTCATTAAGCATAAACCTCAACCAGCAGTCCGCCAAAGACTCCTCCCTAGAGAAAGCTGACTTCTTCTGGCCAGGCACTGTGGCTTACGCCTGTAATCCAACACTTTCAGTGGCTGAGGTGGGCTGATCACTTGAGGTTGAGAGTTTGAGACCAGCCTGGCCGTCATGGCGAAACCCTGTCTCTACTAAAAATACAAAAATTAGCCAGGCATGGTGGCATGCACCTGTAATCTCAGCTACCTGGGAGCCTGAGGCAGGGGAATCGCTTGAACCCGGGAGGTGGAGGTTGCAGTGAGCCAAGATCACGCCACTGCACTCCAGCCTGAGTGACAGAGCAAGACTCTGGGGGGGGAGAGAGAGAGAGAGAGAGCTGCCTTCTTTAAATCCTACGAATATTATTTCAAATATGCAAATATGTCATCCAATACCAGGTAAAGATAACCAAACACTGACCCATGACAAAAATGACAGGTGTCATAATAGATACTGATACACTCAATGATCGGACACACTTAAGACAACCAGGCTTAGTATTGTTTAATAAGCACAGTCATTTAAGAACTATGAAAACAATGAAGAACCCTAAGATGAGAGAAAAAAAAAACTGGGTGTATTAGGAGATGAGAACTGAGGTCGGGGTGGTGGGAGTGTAGTGCCACTCTGGTTTTCCTCGGTGACTCAGACCCTCGAACCTGCCCCTTAGGTGCCGTCTCAGCCCTGGTCCCTCTCCTGCTCTAACACCCACCATGGCTCCCTATGGCCCACAGGATAAAGTCCAGACCTGGGCCCTAGGAGAACCCGCCCTCAGCACGGGGGTGGGGGATGCGGATGGGGGGCACTGCGCTCACCCAGAGAGGCTGTCAGGGTCTTAGCTCAGAGACACCTCCCGGCCTTCTCCCAGCCAGGCCCTGGATCCCTGCAGTCCTCCAGCGCCCCCTGCTGGCTGTCCGTGGGACTCAGGCACAGAGGACAGCACAGAGGTATTCCCGGGAATCTGCAAAGGTATGTGAGGATCCCTCCGGGTGGCTCCGAGACCCGACAGTAGTGGGTCACTGCAGGTCCGCCCTCAGGGGCTCCACCCGTAGCCAAAGTCCATTCTCTGCGCGAAGGACCAGCTCCAACTTCCTGCGGAGCTCCGCGTGGTCCGGCAGGACGCGGAAGCGCAGCAGCATGAGCACCAGGACCACCTTCATCTCAGCCATGCCGAACGCCTGCCCGATGCAGTTCCTGGGGTAGAGGGTGGGGACTCTGAATGTGCCCAGGACCCCCATCCCGGCCTCGTAGCGCCGGGAACCTGGCCTGGGACTCCTAACCCCACCCAGATCCAATTGAGGGCCAGAGAGAGGGACCCCGTGCCTGGGACCCCCATGTGGGCTTGCATATCCCCCAAGCTTGGCCTAGACCAGCAGAGGTAGGAATGGAGAAGTCTGAGAACACACACCCCTCGTTTTCTGGGATCTTATTCAAACCCTAGACCCCCTGAAACACATGAACCGACAACTCAGACCTTGCCACCACCTGCCGCCCCCTCATCCCATGCCCACCTCAGAAGCCCCTTAGCCTCACCTGTTCCCTGAGGAGAAGGGAATAAAAGCTAGAGGTGACCTCTTCTGGGGGTTTTCTGAGTTGAAGCGAAAGGGGTCATAGACCTGGGGGATGGGGCAAGTTAGGGCTGATGGGTGGGGGTCTCTCAGGACACCTAACCACCCCCATAGAAGACAGATGTAGGTGGAGTAGGTGGGGGATATCTGCTTCCCAGGCACAAGATCCCTCCCTGATCAGGCCCCAGGGATGGAGAAAGGGGCAGGGGATAGCACCTCAGGGTCCGGCCAGACTGAGGGGTTGTGATGGACGCCAGTGATGCTGATGGAGAAGATGCTCCCTGTTGGGGAGGAGGTGCAGTCAGCACAAGGTCCCTGCCACACAATGGGACCCCAGCCCTGCCCAAGGCCCTCCCTCACTGCCCAACGGTGGGCACCTTTGGGGATGACCCGGCCATCTGGGAGCACCACGTCCTGGATTGCGGCGGGAGATCAGGGGGACTGGGGGATGCAGCCACAGGCTCTCCTTCAGGCACATGGCCAGGAAAGGCAGCTGGGCTGGGTCGTCCCTAAGGAAACACCCAACAATTATCCAGGGAGCAAACATATCCCGCCTGCTGCCCAGAGAGACCGTCACACCAACTTGTAACCCCCCAGTGGATTCACCTTGCCCACTGCCTGAAAAGAGCCCATTTATCAAGACAGGGGGGTCTTTTCAGGAAAGGGCTGTTATAAGTTTTGTTTCAAAGTCAAACCAGGAACTGAATTCCTTCCCAAAGTTAGCTCAGCCTATGCCTGGGAATGAACAAGGACAGCTTAAAGGTTAGAAGCAAGATAGAGTCCGCTGGGCACGGTGGCTCACGCCTGTAATCCCAGCACTTTGGGAGGCCGAGGTGGGCAGATCACCTGAGGTCAGGAGTTCGAGACCAGCCTGACCAACATGGAGAAACCCCATCTCTACTAAAAATACAGAATTAGCCAAGCTTGGTGGTGCATGCCTGTAATCCCAGCTACTTGGGAGGCTGAAGCAGGAGAATCGCTTGAACCCAGGAAGTGGAGGTTGTGGTGAGCTGAGATCAAACCACTGCACTCCAGCCTGGGCAACTAGAGCAAAACTCCATCTCAAAATAAATAAATAAAATAAAAGATCCACCAGGCATGGTGGTGTGTGCCTGTGGTCCCAGCTACTCAGGAGGCTGAGGTGTGAGGATCCCTTGTGCCCAGGACTTCAAGGCTGCAGTGAGCTATGATCATGCCAATGCACTCCAGCCCGGGCCATAAAGTGAGAACCCATCTCTTTAAAAAATACCAAGTAAAAATAAAAGCTTGAAGAAGATAAATCAAATCTACCAGATACTATGATCTATTACAAAGGTACAGCAATAAAAATGAAACAAAATACTTTTTTTTTTTTTTTTTTTT